CATCCGGAACTAGATCAGGCCAAAGATCTCACCGGATAAACGTAGATAAACACCTGAACCAAATTCAAAGTGGTTGCCGAATCTAGTCGAGTCAGAGCACCGGCGAGGTCATGGACAATGGCTTTGCATTTTGTTTGTATTTGTGTTTAGAATCTGATAAATATAGTATTTACTGGTAAATGTATTTATTGGTAAATATTGTATTTACCAATAAATACTTTAGTAATTTCAATTTTAAATATCGTAAATAATGTATTCACCAATAAATATTTTAGTAGTCACAAGTTTGCATCTGATAAATATTGTAATACCCTTAAATACTTTAGTAACTACAATTTTGAATATGATAAATATTGTATTTATATGCAAAGTACTTTAGTAGTTACAAATTGAAATTTGCTATATTTACATATAGTGTTTAATAGCCGCCGAAGTAGGTGGCGGGATCTTCGGATAAATATGATATTTACTAGTAAATACGATATTTACTAGTAAATACAACATTAAACGGTCCTTGGAGTCGGTAGTCAAATTTTCAAATAAATATGATATTTACTTGTAAATACGGTATTTACTAGTAAATATAGTGTTAACCGATTGCCGGAATCGTTGCCTAAATTTTCAGGTAAATATGATATTTACTGGTAAATACAGTGTTAAACGGTCACTGAAGTCGATGGCTGAAATTTTAGATAAATATGAGATTTACTAATAAATATGGTTATTTTTGGTAAATACGATATTTACCTTTAAATACAGCATTAAATGGTCGCGGGAGCTGGTGCTCAGCTTTTCGGATAAATATGGTAATTTACTAATAAATATGGTGTGAAATGGTAAATACGGTATTTATCAGTAAATACAATGTTAAACAATTACCGAAAAACAGTCACCGGCTGGCAAAAAACGGTCACAGGTTACCGAAAAATAGTTTCCAATTGCTGGAGTCGGCTGTCAGTCCCGACCATGGTGGATTTAACTATAATCTACCTATTTTAAAAATATGCTATAATTTACTATTTTTTATAAAATAGATGTTTATGATAGAGGAGTAAAATGAAAAAAAAAAATTTAAGAGTATTTTTAAATTTTTAATAAAATCTAAAACTTAAAATATTAAATTATATTATAATTTATTATTTTTAAAAAATATGTTATAATTTATTAATCACTTTACTAATTATACTATTTATTTCTTTAAAAAAAAAATAATAAAAAGGAAAAAAAACGCCTGCCGACTAATGACTAAAACAAAACGTCCCTTTCTCTGTGTTCCTTGCTCTTTCCATAATAATTGTCTCAGTTTCTCTCAAAACAAACACAAAATTATATACTCACCATTATCACATTAATACTCCATTGTTTTTGTTTCCTCTGCAAATTCCCATAATTGGGAAATGAAATCTCATCTTCCCATATCTTCTTTCCCATTACTCCATTGATGGGCAATTTTGAAATGATTCTAAAGCGGAAATTGATGCCATGACAAGACAACAACAACAGAAACGATTTCTTTGCATGCGAGCAAGGGCATGGACGAATTGCCGGGGTCGTTTGGGACCAGCGCCAGCTTGGCTTTGCGCTTGGGACAGACTATATTCTCCTTCGCTTCCCTTCTCTTCATGTGTTTCGACGTTCAGTTCTATAGCTACACAGCTTTCTGGTAATTTGGTTTTATTTTTTTATTTTTTTATTTTTTCTATAGCTACACAGCTTTCTGGTAATTTGGTTTTATTTTTTTATTTTTTTGTTTTGAGTTTGACCCTTTTGGGTCTGATTTGATTGGACCCTTTTGTGATTTTGTTTTGTTCTTTAATACCCATGTCTTTGTTTTTGAGTTTGATGGTGATTCTTTTGTAGTTTTGTGTTATGGTGAAGGTGAAATCCGCAGATGGAGTTTGATTATGTTTTGTTTTGTTCTGTGTTTTGATTTTTTGGAGTCATTATTGAATACTGTTCAGCGCATAGAAAGGGGCAATTGCTGAATTGGGTATAGTACAGAAATGGGGAAATTTCCAAGTTTTGATTTTTGTGTGTCTCGGTTGGAGAAGATAAGGATTTGTTTTTTTTTTTTTGTTTTTTTTAAAATAATAATAATAATTGTTCTTCCACAAAGTGCCTATCACTGTATGTCAGTCTTCAATGTTGAAAGAAGTCTCATAAGAGGGTTGATTTGCTAGATTTTGTATACATCTTAACCAAGTTAGAGATGTTGTTGATTGTAGCAGAGTTTTTCTATCTTTGCATGTTTGAGATGTGTAAATATGGTTTTACCATAAAGCCTCAGAATAAACAATTTAGAAGATTAATCTGTCAGCCCCAATAAAATTGAGACTTTTATAAATGTTACATCATCAGCAGTAGAATATTTGACAGTTCTTTGAGGATATGATTTTTCACTGCAATAGGATTTGAGTCTAGAGGCTTTTGTCCGACAATAAATTCAATTATAGTTTAACAATTGCCAGTTTGGCTCTCTTTTCCAATCCTATTGCAGTTTGATTGTCTCTTCACAACATGGCCTTGGCTTTGTGGAGGATGTAGGACATGTTTAGCCTGAAGATAAGCTTTTTTCGTGTGGTGTCTTTGAGAATAAGTTTAACAAGTGAAAGTCTTGGGAAATTCTAGCTTGATAGCTTAAAACACACAAATGCCGCCTTTTAATTATCAGTCTCTTCGTATGCCATCTTGTTTATTAGTCTCTTCTTATGCCATTTTAATTATTAGTCTCTTGTTCATCTCACTTACTTGTAATTGATCATGGTGCTTTTCCAGCTACTTGGTGACAGTCATGGGCTTAGTGGTCCCATGGAGCTTGACATTGGTTGTGGTGGATGCTTACTCTGTATTTGTCAAGTTCTTACCTCGTCAACCAAGAACGATATTGATAGTCGTCTTAGGAGACTGGGTATGGGTAGTTTCTTACTCAAGAGTATTCTGATACGATTCCTCTTAGACAATCTAAATTCATACGTATATGTTGTTCTCCCACAGGCTTTGTCATATCTCTTGCTATCTGCGGCCTGCTCAGCCGCTAGTGTCACGGATCTGCTGTTTGATGCGGGTGGATCCTACTGCCCTGCTAAGTTATGTAGTAGATATCAACTATCTGCTGCCATGGCTTTCTTATCTTGGTTTCTCTGTCAAGGTTCTTTCTTGTTCAATCTCTGGCTTCTTCCTTCTTTGTGAAACAACGGGCAGTTATTCGACTCTAAAATTGAAATGCCCAAGAAATGAAAATAATCATGTGAGACGAAGTCTGCTGCTGAAGCATATAGAAGGTTCCATACTATTTTCACCAATAGATGCTTTAAAATCAAACTTGAAACCCTTTAAAAATAAAAAAAAATAAAAAATAAAAAATCAAACTGGAAACCTTACTGAATGTGATTGCAGCGAAGCTGCTTAACCCGAATACTTGAGACTTGGTTCTGTTGAGAAGAAAGTGTTGTTTTCTACTAGCCCTGGGATGATGCTGCAGTACATATCCCCAAATGATTTTATTTTATTGTACATGAATCTTTTAGGTGATGAATACAAACTCCAATTAGTTGGTTTATGGCAGATAAAACAATTGCTTTTGTTTTCATGTAATTATTATTACTCATTGTTAACAGAACAGTAGTTTATATATCTTATGAAGAACGTCTTTCTTTTATAGCTTACTAGTCTTCGCGTGATTCATTTAGATGATCGTTATAGAAATTGTTTTAAGAAAAAGAGAAAGAAGGAAAAAAAAAAAAAGAAGAAAGACATAAAAAAAGGAAGATAAAAGCGGGAAAATAATATGAAATAAAAGATAGAAAATAATTTTAATTTATTTTGTTGTGTTTTAAATTAATTCTATTCTATTTTATTTGGTGTAATTTTATTTAATTTTAGTATATTTTTGTTTAATTTTAATTTTATTTTTATTTTTATTTGAGGAGTGTCGAAAATCTAGTGCAAAACGCTGTGAAAATGGACAAAATCGGGCCATAAATTAATTCAAAACATATAAAAATATTATAATAATACTAATAATAATAATAATAATTTAAAATTTGATTTTAGGCTGTCCGATCTTAATCACCAACGGCGGCGATTAGCGTGTGCATTCCACGCGCAGACAAGGGTTGTTTATTCAGCCGATATCAGAGCTAGGTGTGTTGGCGTCCTCCGCAGTTGGGTCATGTCACATTCTTCCTCCAGCTGGCCCGGCTATCGGCCACTCTCGCATTGCGTGTTTCAAGTGAGCTTGCTTTTTTCAGCTAATTCTACGTGTCCATCTTACGAGGAAACCACCACGTGTATTCCAGTAAAGAGAACCCTTAATCGGTGACGGCCACGTGGTGATTTTAGTGAAGCTTATCACACTGAATCTCTTTTCCTACCAACAAATAAAAAAAAAAAAAAAAAGTGAACAAAACATTTCCTAACGACCCAAAAAAACCCATTCATCTTTAGTTATGTTGATAGATAGCTATAGCTGTTAGAAAAATGGCATTTTGAGGTGATGATTTTATGCTAAATTTTGAGTGGGACATGCTGCGTGTTAATAACGCGTCAAGGTGGAGATTGAATTGATATATTTATATACTTAAAAAATGATGCACAGTGCATGAGAAATTTACATCTAATGTGTATATGGTTTTAAGTTTAGAATTAAGTCGCGAATTAATTAATTATGGGAATTAAAAAAAACATTCGAAATAAAAGCCTTTAAATGTTGAAATTAATTGAGATTATTTCCGGTGAGGGAAATAAGCTTTTGCTTAATTCCAATTGAATTTTTTTGTTATTTCCAATTGAATGTCATGTCTCTTCCGATTTTCTATAGATTGGAGCTTCCACTCCTTACTTCGAAATATAAGAAATTTGAAATCTATTCTCATTCTCTCAGAAAAAATGCTCTAGAGTTCTTAGGTTCCGTGTTATAGAGTTTCAAGCTCATTTAAGCTCGTCATTCGAGTAATTTTGTGGTGCGTCAACTCTACTCTTCCATTATCATTGTATTCTGAGAGACAGACGCCGAAAAACCTCATGCACTACAGTGAGAGGGCGAATATGTTTTAGGGACACCGTGTGAAACACGGGCCTCGGGGCTTCAACATTTTCCCAATGTGTTTTTGTTGTTATTATTTCCGATTTATAATATGTTTATGGGATTTGTCTCCAGTAGATCGTCTAACTGGTAGGATCAGTTTTCTGACCGTTAGTTCTGATTAAAATTAAATAAGATTAAATAAGTATGTAGAACATACCGTTTTATATACAAATTTAATGGTTGAAAACTGCTGAAAAAAAAAAAAAAAAAAAAAAAAAC